CATGTCTCCCTTTCCAGTTCATTGTTGAATCGTATTATATATTTATAGATCACAATCTGCATTTATACATCTAAAATTGCAGAATTTGTAATGGTCAACTATTTAAAAAAAAAAAAAAATAAAGCAGAAAAATAAATTAAATAAATACAGCATGCAATATGAAACGCATAAGAAAAACTGAGAGTTTGATTATATAAATATTTATTGTTCAAATAGATGTTTAAAAAAATTACACCAAATTTATTTTAATTTATCAATTTTTTTTGCAAAAATTTTTTTGCGTGTTTAAACAATAGAAAATACTAAATATTTAACATTTTGGAGAGTGAATAATTTGTGTTGAGTGTCTTTCTTACGAAAGCAAAAAATATGTTTCTAATATAAGGAACAATAGAAAGATGTCTTAAAATGACAAATCAGCTCGGACGATAGATCAGTTATATTTATGTTTTGCTGTTATTATTGGTCTTGATGAGAGTATTGTCAATTTAAAAGTAGACACAGTACTTTTATAAAGCATTTGTTTGCTCCTAACAGCTAAGCTAAATGTAAAGATAACAGGAAATAAATGAAATACCAAAAAACCAATACCATAAAAAAGCACTAGATTCCAAGTCTATGGTTAACTATTATAATGCACAGGGTTTGTGGGTCCCAAGTATTGACTTTTTTTATGTAGACTTTTCCGCCACACAAGGCACCATCTTGCACCATACGCTCCAGGCCTGTATCAAAGGCTGAAATCCTATGGAACAACATATATTTTCCGCGCACACCTGCTCCCAAGACTGAAATCTTAAAGTGCAACATAGACTTTTCACCCACCTAGAGTGATATCCTGTACCAGCCCCAGGTGCTAGAAATCTTGGTCTTAGTTTGGGCGCTCATTACCAAATAATAATTTCACAAACATTTCAGTTGCCAGCATCTGAAATAGCTTTTCCTTTCCCAACCTTCATATTATTTGCCTAATCTGTTCGCTTTCATATCATAGGGCATTTGCACTTTGGATAGTATGCTCACAGGCAAGTCTTACACCGTAATACCTTGGGCTTTTTTGTGCCAGAATGTCTTTGTCTTTAAGAATACCTATTGTTGATTGTTAATATTTTGTAAAGTGTTCTACATGAGATTTTATTATTTATTTACGGTAGAGTACTGAGAGTGTTTACAGTATAAGGCGATGAATAGAATAACAAACTGGTGGGATCCATAGTCCGCTCATCCAGAAGTAGAGAAAGACAATATGAAATTAAGCCAAAATCAGCACTGGTTGAGACAATACAATACTTTGTGTCTCTCACTTTCTGTGTTAAAATACAGTAATGCCACAAATACAATTACTGCTATATAAAAACATAATTATTATCAAATAAACAATGGAACAGTTTTAGAATGTCACTTCTTACAAATGAATTTGCTGGCGCTACATAAATAAGAAAATAATAATAATTCTGGGGTAAGGAAGAAATTTTTTTTTTTCCAAGTTTGTTGCAAAATTGGAAAGTGCTTCAAACTGGAACAGCAAAAACAGATGAGAGAAAGCCTGAACTTGATGTTTATTTTTAGCTATGCAGCTACATTTAAAACGTATGGAACTTAAATATATGCTATTTTGATGCTCTAAGAAATCTCCGTTATAGAGCAGATGGGGTTCTACCAGCAATGTAGCCGCTGATTGTAAATTCAATTAAAGCTGTAACCAAACTGTCTAAAAAAACATCTATAAAGAAAACATTTTCCTACGGCATTCATTACCCGTTTATGTCTGAAATTCAAACCTTTTTGTAACATTAAAACCAGAAAAACAGGGTTATTTTGCCTTCTAACAGCATAAAAAGTGTTAAAAAGGTTCAACTTGATGGAGTTGTCTTTTTTTTTTTAACCTAGATTGCTGTGTAACGATGTACTATGTAACTAAAAGGCTGTCGATGGGTGATTTAATATTTAACCCACTTGTGTTATGGTAGTATGTCATAGTTTTATTATATGAATGACTACTAAAACCATCTTGATGAGATGTTAACAGCATTTAGAATATGGAACTATATTGGATTGGATTCACTGAATGTAAGATATTATTTTGAATGTCAAACTACAAAACTGACAATTTGTTTCCTTAAATGTAGGCCATAAAAATAAACCTGCACTCCTTATCATAATGGATTTGAGCCAGGTGAGTTTTAATCATATTATCATATTGTTCTAATGTATAATATTTCCTCTGTTCCATAGATTACGCCCATAATAGTGTCCTCCTTACGCATGATATCTTTAAAAATTTAAGAAATTAACATACTGTATCCAATCGCTGAGGGGAGCCCCAGGGTAAATGCCATCCAGAAAAGCCAGTGCCTTCATGTTTGTCAGCGGTGGCTAACTGACAGGTCAATAAATCTCTGTCCCCTAAACTCTTAAATCCAAATTATTAAGAAAATTGCCAGGGCCACCACTTGTTAAACCTTCCTCACATATAGGAGAAAAAGGGGCATTTTATTGATTTGTCAAGCAGGAGTCAAGGCATCAATCTCAGTGTCACAGCATAAACTGTATGGGTAAATGTGCGTAGGTTTTGTCATTGTATGGATATTTGTAAATGAGTGAATCTGTATTTGTGTGGATGTAGGTAGAATTTGTCACAAAACCTGGCAGTGACTCTCCAGAATTTGTGCTCTAGATCTGCCCCTGGCTGTATCTGACGTTTTATTCAAAGATAAAACTGGGAAAAAGTCAGAAAACTAAATTTATGCAGATGAAACATAGTTGGAGAGCAGGTATAGCTTTTTGAGTAATTGGTGCTATCAAATTTGACCATGAAGTCACAATATGTAAAAAACTAATTGAAACATCATTTGACAAGAGCTATGATTTAATTTTGTCCAACCTAATCTGACTTTTACCTATAAAATCAAAATAACATTTTGAAGAGGCAAATATTTCTGAACTCTGGGATAGTGCATATAATTTTGGAATATGAATTTGAAGAGTAAAGTTTTATAGAAGACATACTAAAGACTAACAATGCAATTTGTTTCTCCTAAGTTTTAGGCTGCTGGTAATGAAATATTTTTCTGAAAAAAAAAGTTAAAGCAAGTGTAAGAGTGTGTTTTTATATCTCTATTAACACGTTTTATACTGAACATATCTTATACATTAAAATATGCATATTTTAACATAGAAAACCTCTTATTCTTAAATTGTTTGTGACAAAATCATTGTACATACTATAGTTCATTTATATTTTTTATTATTCTGAATGATTGTGCAATTTGATACATAACATACCAATAGACATAACATAAGAATGGTAGACTTCATTTTAAATTACAATTTTATCCAGATTTTCTGCAGTTGATAATTTTTTAAATGCCTTAGGATGTGTACAAAACATGTATCAGCTAAACTGCTACTTCAAGGTTCCCTGCACAATATAAAACATTTAATAAAAATATAAGCATACAGAGATGGTGTTGTAAAATATATATAAATATATATGACAGAATCACAATAACAGGGCAATTGTGACAGTTCAACAGTTCAGAATCAAATCTATTAAGTATATAAATAAGGCGAGATAAATGTAATAAAATCTTGTGTAATCAAATGTTATATATATATATATAATAAATATATACACACTATTTTTTTAGGTTACATTTTCTTGAAGCATGGGAGGGAGAAGATTGATACAGAATGTGAATAACGTGACATCTAAGAGTATAATTGATATGCTACATTGAATGTTTTGTTTTTGTCCCTTTTTCCTATTAATTACATAAAGGTTTTACATAATTCACTAAACTCAGAAATTTAGATAATTAAAATTTGAATTGCATAGTTTAGGGGAAAATAGCTGATCAGGAAAAATCCACAACTTTTTCCATTAAAGGGGCTTTCTAGACCTCTAAACACAGCTTGAGGAGTATTCCTTTTTAATGTTAGCGTGTTCCTTTAACTACAATCTGGAATTCAGGGGGTAATCCCCATACTGCCAATCAATACCCATTTGTTAAATGCATCTCTTTTATAGATTTTATAGATTAATGTTCCAATTTTCAAAGTGATGGCTGTGAGTGTGAAGTGTTTTATTCTGTTTAATGATGAATTGGCATACAGAACCTTTCAGATGATGGAATACTAAGGTTCCTTCAATACAAAGTTCATTCAAACCGAATGTCACATTGAAGCCACAATAGCCTAACTATGTTTTCATTTTGAAATTCTTTATTTTTGGAGTGCATCAAAATATAACATTTGGGCTCATCATGCCCCAACAGCATTGATAATTGTATGGCAAGACATATTGTAAACAGTTGGACAGCATGTGAATAAACTGCACAGTTTTTCATGAGAATTCCACAAGCTTAAAACCTGTAGCTATTTTCTGCTGAGGGGATACCACAGTTGCTCCCACCGCTAATTTTACTCTCGTGGTATGTGTGAGGGCCGGTAGGTGCGTTAATTGGTGTCTGGGATCGTGCTGGTCGGTGAGTGATTCGTGGAGTAAAATTGTGTCGCAAGTGGATAACGTGGGTTCGTTCAGGTTGGGAACAGGGTATTAGGTAATGAGTTGCTTAGCTATACATCTGTGTAGTTTAGGGGAAAGCGCGGTAACTAGTGTGTTCTGCGTTGGTTTTGAGTTTAGTGTATGTACAGATACTGGGTGTTGAGAAGGAAGCAGCTTGGGTGTACTTATGCATTGTTGCTATTGGGGTTAACCCCATGCTTGCCTCGGCATTGTGTGGGACGTGCTCAGGTAGAGGCTTGCGGCAGAGTTATCTACCTTAGTTACTGCCCCGCAGATGTTGGGTTTGTGGGAGTGCACGCTGGTCTATAGCGAGCTTGGGCAGCTGTTAGGGGAACGGCGATTTGAGTCTGACACCGTTTCGAGTTTAAAATAGGTGGAGTAACCCCCAGCTCCATGACCACCATCCTGGGACTGTTACGTGTGTTGGTAGCCTATTTGTGGAAGTAACAGACATGGCACTGCAGGGGTTGTTATAGAGTGATGCAGAGTGATGGATGTCAGCCCGGGTTTACGCTTGCTGCCAATAGGGGCTGCCTGTATGTTGCAGGTTAGACTTTTGTAGGACGTGTCTTTTTGCTATGGTATGTTACTTGGACTACGTGTGTCCCAATGCAGGTATGGGTAGTGAGATCCATCTAACGTGTTAGTGCAGGAGGGGGTACTTGGTGGGGAGACAAAGTGACTTGGGGAACGGGACAAGCTATCCCCTACGACTAAACCCGTTGTGTAGACAAGCGTAGGAATTTTAGGTAACTGGTGCGCATAACATCTGATTAATCTGGAGAGTACAATATGTTTAAAAAGAAAAGTGAAAATAAAGTGAAAACATACAGTTAACAAATAAACAAACCCCTATGATACTGAAAATGAAACAGATGCTATAATCAAATCCATACTGGTTAGGCATGTACATTGGCCTGATACAGTCCGAGTAGGAACAGACATTGCATCAGAGAGCAGTTTTGTGGAACGAACGGGACTGTTCTTGTTGTGTCCCAAGTGTGGTTTGGAGAGGCTGCCCTCTGCGGACCAGTCTGAGTAAGTGAGTCCTGGGGCAGTCCCAAGGCCCGCAGTAGTGCTGCTACATATCCCAGGTCCCGGATCTGGTGAGAGTCCGACCCGTGTTGGATGGTGAGTGCGCAGGAAGGCCTCCAGCGATATTTAAAGTCATGCCTGCGAAGAAGGTTAGTGCCATGTTTTAGAATTGTAGGGACTTTTTTCCCAGTAGCGCGTTAAGGATTGCTGTTTTATCTTGGCTTTTGCCAAAGGTGACTATCATGTCCCTTGAAGCTGAGGTTGGCACTTTTGGCGGTTTGGGAATCCTGAATAGGTTGTCCGGGATAATATGTTTGGCTTGTGTGGGTGGTAAGCAGACGTTTAATGATTTGTGGCAGTTCAGCTTCGGATATCGTTTCAGCGATTCCTCTAACTTTCAGGTTGTTCTGCCTCTGTGTGTCCTCTGCTAAGCGTTGGTCGAGTTTCCACTGTTGCAGTTTCAAGTCGCTTACTGCCTTGTGCAGGTCGCCGATGTCCTGGGAGTTGGTAGTGGACACGCTTTCTAGCGTGCTTATGCAGCCTGTCAGCCCCTTGAGGTCGCCACGTAGGGCAGTGACATCTTGTAGTATGTTGCTTTGTAGGTCTGTGAACTATGTTTTCATTTTGCCTAATATTGGAATTCATTTTGACAAGCCAAACTTTAGCGTATGACTTTGTGAGTATTCGGGAAAATTACCATTTATTTCAGAGCTTGCTAAGGATCCACTAATATTAATTCAGCTGTGCTTGCATGGTATCCAAACACATGGCTTTTACTAAAAACTATTTTGCAACCCTTTATCATTATATAATCTACTTCTGCACTATGTCCCTTGCTCTGGTTCCCCATTATCTTTCAGTTTGCAATATAGCCAATGATCCTTCAAACGTGGGAGTTTTATTGTGAAGTTCGAATGATTCAGAAATGGAAGCCATCAACAAAGTAACTGAAACCTTGTCACGGCAATTTTTTGTGCGTGAAAACTTGGGAGTTTCAACAGCACAATATCTGAATATGTATATACAGGAGCATAATTCATAATTTTTTTGTGATAAAGAAATTTACCCCAGAAAATAACATTAAAAGAACACTCCAAGCATCATAGGAACTGCAGGCCTCCATGGCTCAGTAACTCCTTGCAAGGACTTCCAACTCCAGGGGATGAGGCAACTGCAGGTATGTTTTCAAACCATTCTTAAATGGTTTACAGTAGTTATGGTGCTTGGCTTGTTCATTTAAAATTTTGGGAACAGTGGTATGAGGTTAGTGGTTTACACATGTCCACCCTATAATTTATGCTTATTTAATCCATCTTTCTAAAAGCTGCAGTAAGGCTGCCACAAGGTGTATGTGCTGCAAGGCAAATATGGCAGTATTTTGCTAAGACTTAGAAGCTGTGCCTTTCGAAAGCTTCTATACAAGAATAACTCCGGATTCCAGTTATTATTAAACTCGATACATTTAGCCTAACATCCTGTGTCATGGATACAGTCACAAAAATGTATAGCGCTGTGTATATGTTTTTTGAATTTTATAACCTTTCTATCACTTTGCAGTCTGACCCTATTGCGAGTTGTGAATTGGAGAATAGAAGTTGGTCAGCTGAATTTATGCTTCTTGGATTCACTAAACAAAGAGATACAAGCATCGCACTTTTCATGTTTTTTATGATGGTCTATGTGTTGACCCTCCTGGGAAACATAACCATAATTTCACTCACTAGAATTGACTCCTCTCTAAGAACACCTATGTATTTTTTTCTTAATAACTTCTCTTTCCTTGAGATAGGTTACACCACAGTCACTGTACCCAAAATGCTTGACGCTTTGTTGACTGGAAACATGACTATCTCATTTAACTGTTGCCTTACTCAAATGTATTTCTTTTTCCTTTTTGGCACCACAGAATTCTTTATTCTGGCTTTAATGGGATTTGATCGTTATCTGGCCATCTGCCACCCACTTCACTATGTTAACATCATGAACAGATCATTATACTACAAACTCGTCATTGGGTCTTGGATAAGTGGATGTATGGTGCCAACTGTACCTACTATTGTCCTTTCTCATAAACCTTTTTGTGGCTCAAAAACTATTAACCATTTCTTCTGTGATGTTGGCCCTTTGGTAAAATTGTCTTCTTCAGACACGTTATTCTTAGACATCATAGTTTTACTGGTATCAGCTGTTGTAGTTCTTGGATCCTTATCTATTGTTACTGTATCCTACATTTTCATAATTTCAGCCATACTAAGGATATCTTCAAGATCTGGCCGCCACAAAGCTTTCTCCACCTGTGCATCACATTTTTCAGTTGTGACCATTTTCTTTGGAACCGTTATATTCATGTACCTTCGTCCATCTTCTGGTGAAAACTATGAAATCGACAAAGCCATTTCAGTGTTTTATTCCGTTGTTACACCAGCACTGAATCCTCTAATTTACAGCTTTAGAAATAAGGATGTAAAAAGGGCATTAATAAAATGTATCCATGTAAAAAAGCATTCTTGGGGAAAAAAAAATCGGAGTAGTTCACTCAATTGAACTTAAGATGTTCTAGACCAAGCCAGTTATTTATCTTTTTATAGATTAAATTTATATTAAAGGTAGTTACCCTGTTATATATTAGACTATTTTGACAAGAACTTCATCCTCATTCATTTTAAAAACTCAAACCTCCTGAAAATATAACTTTTTAACCAAATAAAATTGTATCATATTATTGGGATTGCTATATTTATTTTAGCCTATAACCATATGAGATAACAAAGTTTCAATGCCTTTATTGAGAAAGCTCCTTAAATGTTTGTTCAGTTGTGTGTGTGTTTACAGATACTGTGGAAATAATAAAATGAAAAGTCTGCTTAACATGATAGAGTACTTAACCTGTTGCGTAGGTTGATACCTATGACGAAGCTCCTGCACTCCGACCGAGTACCTCCTCCCAAATCGCTTCCTGGGGAGGGAGCCTGGAGTTCCTCCGGAACTCTTCCACCAGACCAGACTCTTCTCCCAGGCAGGGATCGTCCCCTCTGCCTATTCCTTTTCAGTTATCATCCCCTCTGCCTATACCACTGCAGCTATGCTCATAGTGATTGCTCCTGTCTTTACAGAAACATTTGTGGCTCTCAAGCCTAACTCTCAATTTGCGCTAGAGGGATTGTACAGTCAGCCAACAGGTCTGAAGTCTGTTACTAGGTTACACAGGACAGACAGTTCCAAAAGGAACTAACATACACAGCTTTATTTCTACTCTAGACTAGCCCATATGCTCATTCAACTTAGATTGCTGTGACAACTTCAATAAAATACAAATAACCAAATCATATCAGACAACATACAACAACTTATTATAGCACAATGGCATTTATAAAGGAGTGGGGAAGACAATTAGCACACAATATCTCTCCTGCCTGCAGAATTTTCAATATGGAAATCTACCTTGAATATGCAAATTAGAAAGCCTTGCTATTCAGGTTGTGCATACAGCTGTTTCTACCAACAGAGGGCGCTATACAAGCTTCATAGGCAAATCCACTTAGTTGGTAACCACCAGCATCAGCAGGGCAGGAGAGCACCCAAAACAATTAACAATATACAAACCCATTATACACACTCTGCACCAATAATCGGCACAGGCTGACTGAGACATAGGATGAATTTAGGAATTTTTGTAAAATGTCAATTTGCTCCCAGTGATGGTGATTACCATCACATCATCTCTTTTCAAAAAAGATCTGCTGAATACCTATTTTTTAATAGCACAGTAAATGGGGACAGGAGTCCTGTAAAATGAATGGTCTAGATCAGGGGTTCTCAACCCAGTACTCAAGGACCCCCTACCAGTACAGGATTTAGGGATTACCCTGTTGTGTCTAAAGTTTTTGTCGTCCCCGTCCCCCCCTAAAAACATATTAGACACAGCAGGGTAATCCCTAAATCCTGGACAGTTCCAGGGTCCTTGAGGACTGGGTTGAGAACCCCTTGTTTAGAGGATACTTATAAAGAGAGCGTTCGCAACTAGATTTTAGAATGCTAGCGTTTGAACAACTTTTTCTGCTACGCAATTCTTCTAGCAAACTGCACAGGAATATCATGACAAAGAGGGTCCAATATAAGTCAGCATTTGTTGCATATGAAGCCATGTGCAGAGCTATTAATGGCTAATTATGGTCTTATTTAATAATTCTAAATGCATGCAGTACATTAGACATCTAATGTAATAATTGTTCTACCATAAATTCGCCCTGAGCTCTTGGCTTTCACATTGGGTATTTTTTTTTGTTAAATAACACATAATTTATGACTCCACAAAAGCTAATTGTCAGCCTTATCAATAGGTACTTCAGGGACACAAGACACCAATATTTGGCTATTGTGATAGTAGATGAAGTTATAAAAGGGAAAATTCATTCTATAGAATTATTGAGCAGACTTAAAATTAAAGGTCCATGGAGTAATAATAGCCCTTTTATTCACTAGAAAACAAATTAAAAGAATAAAACAACTATAATCCAGATAGAAAACTTGATTATACAATAAAATAAAATTAGCTACAAACAAATTACACATAAAATATTTGAAAGTACTTTTTTTTTATCAAAGCAATAATGCAGGTCCAATTTTTGTGTTAGAGTTTAAAAATATATATATGTACTTAAATTTATCTATTTCTTTTTCCTTTTTTTCTATTATCTATTCACATTTTTTATGTGCGTGAAGGGTGCTGTGTGTGTGAGAGGTGCAGTGTGTGTGAGGGGGCAGTGTGTTTGTGGGTTGCTGTATTGTGTGAAGAGTCCAGTATGTGTGTGAAGGGTGCTGTGTGTGTATAGGGTGGTGTGTGTGTGAGAGGTGCAGGGTGTTTGAGGGGTGCAGTATGTGTGGGGGCAGTGGGTGTGAGGGGTGTAGTGTGCGCTGTAGTGTGTGTGTGTATATACGCGGTGTGTAGGTAGGTGAGATGTGAAAATCTATCTTAATGTCTCCCCCTGCCTTCTTCTTACCTTTTACCAGGGAGGGGGGCATAATGCTGCAAGCCCTGGTTGTCCAGTGGTGGCATGTTCACTTTAACCTGCAGGCTGACTCTGTTGTGTGGGAAATCTGAAATGATCTTGCCTGCCGACCTTGGTCAAGGGCCATCGAGGCCCATCGGGTTTTTTCTGCAGAACCCACTACCGCCCACCTGAAATCCCAAACTGGTAGGGACCAGTTTGACTACTCATGCTTCAGGCCCTCAATTCTGAAAGTCTAAATCTTCATCTCAGCTGCTTTTTGGATATAGGCTTGTAGAAAATGCCTGAACTCATTGTTTCATTAAAGCCACTTCAAAACTTAATCTAAGCCATAGCCAAATTGAGCCTCTAAATTAAATTTTCTATCAAAATGCTGGCCTTCAAAGTTGTCTTCTTGACCACTATAAGCCCCACTAGTAAAGTAGGTGAACTATATGAGCAAAATGTAAATAAATCATATGTTTCAAGGCAAGATTGTGATGTTACATAGCTGAAAAGAGACTTGCGTCCATCAAGTTCAGCCTTTGTCACATATGTTTTTGCTGTTTATTAAAAAAAAGTTGCTTTCAGACTTCTTACCCATGATTATCTCTAGATTTTGGTTAAATATATAATACTGCTCATAGATAGTTACGATAGAAAGCTATTCGCCACAACTGTCCCTGAAGGAGTTAGGTATTAAAGAAGGGATCCAAGTGAGCGTATTCTGGCCACATGTGGAATACATCCCCCATAATGCTCTTACACCCCTAATGTTGGCAAAGCATCATGGGAGGTGTAGTCCAAAACATCTGGAGTGTCAAAGGTTGCCTATGCCTGGCCTAGAGTATAGCAGAGAGAAATGACCATTCTACACATCAGTAAAGGCCAGAAGACAGCCTTGCCACATGTATCAAATTTAGTACCCTAATGGTATTATCTCTGGCCTCATCAGGGTAGAGTCTCATGGCTTAAATCTTTTTAAAGTCGTAATTGAAATGGTAGATCAGCCTGTATCTTCTAAATTGAGCTAGGTCCTTACCCTCCTTAGGTATGAGACCAATGTGTGTGTGTGTGTTATAAATACTAGTAATAATATTAGTTATGCTTCTATTCTTCTGTTCTTTTTCCTCACTCTAAATCAACACCCCCTCTGCATGGCGAGCTTCCAGCATGGCGTTCCAGCCTTGCCCCCCAACTGTAGATTTTGTTCACCTGCAATGTTCATTGGCAGCAATGCAGGTCACATTAGTCCATTGACACTAATGAAAATCTGTCACACATGCGCACACACTCTCTCAAGTGAGAAGAGTGGGAACCAAAAAGGGTTCCAAGCACTAGCATGGGCATTGTGCCACTAATATTGGGAATGAAGGACCACTGGTTTGATTAGTCCCAGGACCAAAATGCAGACAGTCAGCCCAGTGGGGGCAGGCAGTAAGGCAAATAGATAGACAATCTAGACAAACAAGTGTTTTGTGAAAATGGCCGGACAGCCGAATTCCAGACAAAAAGGAGTTTGTTCAAAAATCAATGCCCAATTCTAGTGTATGTGAGATTATAAAGACTTTATTTAATCTTGTTTATTTTTTATAAAGAGTAGAAAATGTATCAAGAGCCCTAAATAGTTCAAATGTAATGCCAATAGACATGCATAACTGGCAAGTAAGCGCTACATCAGGGCATGGGGTCCCCTTTCCCCTTGAAAACAAATGGCAAGCTGGTGTTCAACTCACAAAATAAAGCAAACAGCCTGTGTTTGTACAGTCATTGGAGTCTAAACAGCTCAGATGGAGCTCACTCTGCAGCCATCAGGTAGAGGAGGACTCTACCGAGTGTGTGAGCACATCATGACTTTCATGGACAGGTCTTTTGCAGCTTGTGATGGCTGTGAGGTGTAAAATCAAGTGGCCATCGCTTATCAATGTTAAGCCATGACCCCATTGAGGCTATATTAACTCTGTGGCAAGATCTATAAATTCATACAGAAGTTGTGTTTTGTCCAGATTTTACATTTCCCATGATTTAGGTATTACCCAGGCATGTCTACGGTTTTTAAAAACACACAAAAAAACCTTAGACTCAAGAAAAAAATTCTAAGATTTATTTTAAACACCTTAGATACACCAAGGTAATCCCTAAATCCTGGACAGTTAAGTGTGCCTTGAGGAGAGGTTTGAGGAGCACTGCCCTAAAGAGCTGCTAACAAAAATCCCTAATTTAAAGCTACATTCTACCAGTTGCCATCTTTGACATAAATAGCAACTTATTTTGCTGCAGTTTAGCGAAATCTGCATATATTTACTTCACCAGATTGATATCTGTATTGGCTATATCCCCTACCAATGTATAACATTTTTACTTCTTATATGGGGTCTGCCAGGTGTGGCTCCCCGCCTCTACTACAACACAGTGAGAGTCTGAAGCACCTGCTCAGGCTGGTGCATTGGCTGACAGTGTCAGCTGAAGAGGTAAGCCCTGCATTGCTTAGCACCAGGTTTCACTGTGCTTGTGTGGAGGCAGAGAGTGGTACTCTGGACTCCAGATAAGAAGTCACACTGTTCTAAACTGCCTTGACTCCCTATAGTCTAGGGGTGAGGGGGCATGCCAGGGCTCTTCCTGCAACATAAGCACTAGAGTGATGTAAATATTACAAGGTTGTTTTAGCAGAGCCGTGAACACTCCACAACTCTGACCAAGGAGGCAAGGAACAGTGGTGGAAAGTGTAGAGAAGGCCCTGGTGCAGGAATATTTTTTGCCCCCTCCTCTATTGCAAGGGTGGCCATAAAGATATATCGCCATTTGTCATGCAACACTTCCTTGTAGGGTTATATTTGTGAGCAATGCGTGTGTTTAAATATAAACTTTTTTTGTGCAGCGTGTGCACACAGTGCATTTGTATATACTGTTGCCATTGGAAAGCAGTGGTGTAAATTTGTAGAGCTTGCATTGAAATGCAGGGGTGTGTAGTCTTTTAAACGTGAGTATGTGTGTAGTATTGGTGTTTGCATGAAGGCATGTGTTTGTATATAATTTGTCTGAAAGCAAGGTTGTGTATATAGAACGTTTGATTGCATGTCACATTGATTGATTGCTGGAATTTATGAACATATACTGTCACATACATACGCATTAACACACTGACACAGAATGACACTTCATTTTTTTTTAATATATTTTTTTAGCTACCCTCCTGTTAACATACCTTGTGTGCAGGAGGTTGCCTTTCTTGGGATCCTGCTGCTGGTTGAGGCAGACAGGAGTGCAGGGCTGGGTCTTCGTTGCTTCTCCCCCATGGGCTCTCACTATATAGAAGCGCAGGCTGACTATTACAGGGACTAGGTTGAGCTGTTAAAGGGCCACAGTGCCAGAACAGGCCTCTGCCCTAAACGCAAGGGCCACTCCCATAATGCGAATGCATGATCTACACACCAAAAAACACTTCAACTGCACAGATTTTGGTTCTTAACTAGACCCATTAATTTAAAATTTTCTAAAATTGTTTAATCCTTTTATGTAATGTTAGGAGATGTGTCAGACTAAATGCAGGCAGGGTTGCATTTTAAGGGAAATCTACAAAGGGTAGAAATTGCTTCCTACTTGGAGAGTTTTACACTTTAGATTTACTAATACTGCTGACAAAGGATGATAAATCTATTGTAAGCAAGTTTGAGCAGGGCCATGGTCACCTTGTGTTTTGGCAATTTATCACTTTTATAGCACCAAAATATTCTGCATCATTTTAAATTGGGGACAAATACTTGTATGTCTTAGCTTTCAGCAGGATTCTCAAAGCAGTTCTCAAGGCACAACAACAGTAAATATTTTGTTTTTATCCTGATTGGAACCGAATTGGGAATGCCTTAATCGTGGATCATTCTAGAGCTTTTCGTGCACATTTTTATGTTATTTCAAAGCTCATGTTTTCAAACTATATGACCTTGTGATCTTTAAAATATTCACGCCCATTAACTTAAGTAATCAGGAATCATAGTTGCCATAATCTCAAAGTTCTGCAAAGTTTGAAAATCAGCCTCTTATTGATATTTGTATTCACAAAGTCATATCCCTATCTAGATATTTATCTAACTCAATACATATTTCCCATAAGTATAAAGTAGAATATATTAAGAGTAGATTTTCCAAAGCATAATATAGCCAAGTGCTAAAAGCCCAGAACATAAAAAAATTGATTACATCGGTTTCCATGGTTATTTTTTTATCTCCAAATTTAGCACTTTACCAAGAAAAATTATCTGCTTTGAAACATTTTGAAGTCCAAAAATTATTTTCTATAGAAGAAAAAACCCCCACAAAAGTAGTCAACCATGTAATATATTACTTTATTTCATAACAGCATCACCACCTTGAAGGATAGAGTTTGTTATACATAGACAGTGGTTAAAACAATTTTTTTTATATAAGTCCCCCAAGTGCAATAAAGTGAGATTTTTTTTTTCTGAAAGAATGTAAAATCAGTGTTCGAGCCTCTTGATTTAGGCTAATGGGGAAGTTCATGATGCACTAGTTTATAATGCGAACCGCAAGAAGGACAACGATGAAGCTCTCCCTCATGCACCCAGAACCAAATGATTTGAGAGTTATCTTCCTCACCTGCATTGAAAGAAAATATTTACAGTCAAGATTCAATTTTCAAGTTTGTGGACTTTATTGTATAAAGTGTCCCTTTAAGGTACAAAGGAAACCTCAGGTAAAAGGCAGGGGCAAGGCAAGCATACTTATATATGCAAAGGTAATGTTTTATTATGATAAATGCAGGCACACATGTGTGTATAAAACCCCTAGTGAAATTAGGTCTTATACAAAAACAGGCATATATGAAAATCTTACACAGATATACTTATATCCACTAATGACAAAATTCTAATAAAAACAAAAAAAAATTATCACTGTAAATTATTTTTTCTTAATATGGTGGCAATAGGTATGGCTTGTGCTTCCTAATTGGGACAAGCATCTGCAAGATAGGCGATTAAGATAAGTCCCTCCTATTTACCCAATAAATGGCTTCCCCGGCAAACCCACCTCAGTCGTAGCAAGAACACACACCTAAGCCACACACTAAACAAAACTGTAATTTAGAGGGAGGTTTGTAATGCCACCATATTAAAAAAAAAAATAAAAAAACATTTACAGTGAGTAAAAATTTCGTTTTTTTTCTGACATATGGTGGCAGTACGTATGGGATATAGCAAGATTCTCAGTCGGGTGGGCTTTATGCCTAAACAGCTTGAAGTACCCTAATCTTCGGGTGAAGAGCTTTTCTCAGCCCACGAAGCGGATATTGCCTTTGTGGAATGCACTGTGAAAGACGCTGGCGAATGAAAACTACTGTAGCATAGGCAATTATGATTGTTGAAATAACGAGAAATAGAATTACGAGAGGCTTTATTCTCCTTAAAACTTTCATAGAAGTTGACAAGTGAACTGATCTTCAGAATTCGGCTGATATTGATCAGTACATCTGAAATTTACTTTATTTAAACTCTAGAATATCTGGTTCCAGCGGGGAGGTGGCATAATTATGGAAGGATGAGCTGATTAACAGCTCTAAAAGATAACTCTGAAAGAATTGAAGTTTTAGGATGAAAACTTTCACCCTGATGGAATATAAGAAATTCCACTGAAGATATATCCAGAAGTTCGATTACTCTTGGCAGAGGTAATGGCCACTAAGAATGCTGGTTAAGCATTAGCATATTAAAAGGAACGACCTCCAAAGTAAAAGGGGCGGCCTTAGAAGCCTATTACTTTAGAGAAACTTCTAAACAGTATATACGAAGACCAATTTCTTCTCAGAAAGAACTTCGGGAATACAATTTGGTATTAACATGGAAACGCCCAACCTGTGGAAATCGCCTGCAGGAAGTGTAAATTTGAACCAAGCGGACAAATGAACTAGAAAACCATGACATTCCTTACAACAATGGACACTACCCAAATCCTCATGTAAAAGTAATGTTAAAGAGGTGGAACGACTAGATTATACTCAACAAGTGGACTGACTCATGAAGACTCAGGAGATGAAGGATCCACCATGCAGTGCCTTACCGTCAATAAGAACCTATTAAACACTTTCAGTAGGATATCCCATCTTCCAAAAGTGTTTGAGATTGGAAGATCCCCAAACTTCAAAGTCATCTCGACCAAGGCTGAAAACTGGCTCGTGTTTGGCCAGTATAGAAAGATTGGCAGAACCACTGCTCTGTCCGTTCACCTCTTTTGAACAGTCTATAGGAAATTTTTTTTTAAGAAATACCCTTAGATAGACCAACTATTCAAGGTGAACTGTCCTGTACAGAGAGGCAAACCTGAGAATCTTCATGTTCTCCTTTGCCATAAGGTCTATCCGGGCACTCCAAATCTCTCTGTAGATCGTGAATATGATTGATCTATAGACCCTTACTTTTGATCCCAATTTCTATTGCTGAGATTGTAGGCGATGACATTGTCAACACATCATGAGTGGAATGGAAAGAGGACCTCCCAGAAATCTTGAGTCCAGTACAACGTTTTGGTACATAGCTGAAACAGACCTTGCCTCTGGCACCACTCTGTCTGTTGACGTGAGGGAAACAGTGTTGTGGTCTGACAGCATTTTCCTAGGTCCCTCAATCAACCAAGATCTGAATCTGTGAGGGGAGTGAAGAACTGCCTTAAGGGCTCTGAAATTAGTTTACTATTTTTCTTAGGACCAAGAACGCCGGCACATTCGAGAATTTAGACGAGCGACCCAGCCTGTGTTAGATGCATTCTGCGGTGAAAATTAATCCTATAGGCTGAAAGGACAGCTTCCGCTTTTTCAAAGAGAGTCTAGGAGACAATTCCAAGATTTCCACACTTTGATCCAGAGGAGAGAATTTTCCACTGTAGCGGCCATATCCAGATATTGCCCAGTTGACCACAGAAAACCAGTGATTGCAAGTGGGTTTTACTTAAATGCCATGCAAGAGACATTCAGATATATACTGGTTCCCAAATGCATCCTGGGAATGTTAAGTGACTCCATTGAATGGTACTCCAGTCATCTACCTCAAAGGGATGAAGGACTGAGTCAACCCTGCAGGGGAAATTAACCCATACCGAAACCCAGCAGTCTGGAAAGATTGTCTGCAAGAGGTCTCAGCTTTTTTGACAACAGGGTTTTTAAAGCAGCTACTTCTGCAGAATTGTATGGATTCCCAGTGTACCTGGGGGTGTAACATTTACCCATTTGATGGTAAACATTTTCAATGTCAGGCAAGAAAAGCTCGTTACACAGAGTGCTCCCATTTCTGCATATAAGAAATACATGGGGTTTGAGGAACAGTTAACCATCATTAAAGTTTAGCAGATTTATCCTGCTACATGACCGATTCATTCCTAATGAACCTACTCAGTACATCAGGTGGTAACCAACTCCACAAAGTATGATGAACCAGACAGGTCTTAAGAAGAGGTAGATCAACATTCGCCAGACATTAAAAGTAAATCGAAGGACACCTCTTCGGTCTCTGCGGAACATCTTAGGCATAGCAGTTGATACACTATTTGATTCTATAAGAACTCAAAAATAGGAATGATTGCATATTCTCGGCTTAATTTTACCCAAGAAGATGCAGCACATTGGTCATATTTATAAACCCCAGAACCATATTAAGGGGAGAAGCACAGATACAATAAGCAAAAGCCATGTATAGCAGAGGCATTCCACGGTGTACAAACAGTCAATCTTGCACATACAGTCCATTTTCTGCAAAACAATGCCATCCATAACTTGGAATTTTAATCAGAACTGATTTTTCAAAGCAAAGATCAGCTAACCTTACCTTGAAAACCTCTGAGGTAGGTGTGTGTGTGTGTGTGTGTGTGTGTGTGTGTGTGTGTGTGTGTGTCACATGGAACCTTTCTGACAAGCTTCCTGCTGCCAGAGGGAACAGCACAGCAATCAGCACTTGTCGGTTTCCTGGAAGTTCCAGTTCGCGCATGCGTTCCACTGCTGTGCGCAGGCGCATGGCCTGCAACATAATGAAGTCGTCCCTGGCCTGCCCATACTCACCAAGCCAGAACATACTCGGCACAAAGTTAAATAGAAATGGCTCCAGAACCTCCAGACTGAGCCATGCCGCTTAGCCTACAACCCGGGCGGCTATCGGGCTTCCTATCCAAAGCAGCAACCTGTGTACCTCACCTTCAACAGACGCCTGATCCGTCCCCTGCTGAGACTAGGAAGAACTGAGGTGGATTTGCCGGGGAAGCCCTTTATAGGGTAAAGGGGAGGGACTTTTCTTAATCACCTATCTTGCAGATGCTTGTCCCAATTAGTAAGCATTAGCCATATGTGCTGCCACCATATGTCTGAAAAATATGGGCAATAGGCCCAGGAAGATTGGGTCATAATGTGGCACCACCTGTGGTTCTGGTCCAAGGCAAAAATGGTGTCTCCAAAACACTTATGGCTCCCTGTTAGTATGTTCTTCATGTGGAAGTTGCATAATCAATTCCATATTTGGGTGGCATTGATAGTTTGAGTATTTTTTCCAAGCAAAAGTACCTTACACATGCATAAACTGGAAGTAATCTTTTACCCACATTAAAATGTATATATGGAGAATTGTTATAATGGAATTGTACACAATCTCTGCACCCCTTCAACCATACACAATATACTGCTTCCTGAGCAATGTATAAACAAAGATTTTAACAATATCTGCTTGGTTGAACGTTTAGAACACAAGAATTTTAAAGAAATGTTCTCTTTGCCAGATTGGTAGAGGTCCGAAATGGAGTAGTGCAACATTGCATCATAGCATAAATTTTCTAAACCAAAAGCAGGGAACTTTCATTAGCACGGTCCTCATCACTTTGTTGCTGTACGCGAAACTTACTTTGTCACAATTATGTGTATGTCCTTTACTCATTGACCAGCGCTGAACTTTCCATTGGACCAATATGTAGATCTAAAATGTGATAAGGGCTAATTGTCTTGCACACTAACCTGCATGTTTCTATAGGCACAGTTATTTGAAACATTACACAAATTAGTTTTAACTGGTTTGTGATTATCAAATTTATTTTAGTTTACACACGTCCAAAATGTGGAATCTTAGTCAATGACTCCACATGTAAGTCCCAGACGAATCAATTCCTTCAGGAATGGATTAAAAGGAACTTTATTTGGATAAACTGACCAAAACAAAAAATGTGCAAACAAAAAAAAAAAAACTAACAATATGCCAGGTGCTTGAAATTATTTAAAGTGCTTTCTCGTGTAATAAAGTGCCTACAATTGCCATAAAGTGCAATGCTCATTTAAATTGTGCAAACCGTTCTAGCAGCAATGACCATGCAATAATGTGTCAACAAAACCTTCACATTTACATACCAATAAATTGTGATATGCTCACAGAAACAAAGCCCAGGACCCAAACTTAGAGGAACACTATAGGGTCAGGAACAAATGGGTATCCGTGACCCTATAGTGTTTAAACCATTATTTAGGTGGCTGGTCTCCATTAAGTACAGCAAAAACTCACCTTTATTTCAGCAACATGCGGGTCTGCAAACGCTGGCCCCGCCCCAATCCACCTCCTTGGCAGACATGCAAATTAATTCATTCTGTAATTTTTAGTGGATTTTTTGGGATATTCACTAATGGTGAAAACTTCATTGTGCAAATTGATATCAGCCAATCAGGAACACATTTGATTGGCTGAGATTGTCAATTCTAATGATCTCAGTCAAGGAGGTGCGGCTGGGGTACACCACCCTGGCAAATCAGCATCTCATAGAGATGCATTGAATCAATGCATGTCTATGGGAAAAGTTGTGCAGCATTGACCGAGGAAGCACCTCTAGTGGTCGTCTGACTGCCACTGGAGGTGTCATGAGGCAGCAATGTAAACACTGCCTTTTTGGGAGTATTAGCAGCTCTTACCATCTTTATTTCTTTTATTTTGCCACTGATTTTTGAAGGTTTGTATTGGACAAAGTCAACAAATTATGTTGCTTTGTACAGCATAGACTCAGTTTTATATTACAACCAAATAGCCATTTGTTAACAATCTAGTACTTACAAACACAGCCTACGAGTCGTTTTTGGTTGATGGAAGGCACAATATGAGGATCTTCTTTGGTTCCCAGATAGGACTTTGGTTTGAGGATGCTGTAAGGGTCCTTAAATAGAAAAATTAAACACCTTACCCAAGAATAACTGTAGTACAACAATTAAATACATTTTTATAGTTGCTGTTTATTTTTAAATTAACTATTTTATCCACAACTTATTTTCAGACATTCTGGACAGCATGTGTAAACACTATATATATATTATATATATATATATATTATATTTATATATATTTTTTTAAACTGCACAAACGATACAGATTTGTAGACCTTAAACAATTTGCATTGCAGCATGGGTTTTCAATAACAAAGAGGTAACAGCCCGAACTATATATAAAAACAAAGCAAAAAAAATGCATAACAGTAAACCCAAGATAATTATGTTCAAGCACCAAAATATCCTCACTGGGGTCCTCCACAAAAGAACTGTCACTACACCAGATTACCCAGGAGGCACATTGAGCCATTACAAAAAGCATATGTGATCAAGACCATGATATTTTCAGAATACTTGGATGAGACATTCCGTTATTCATGGACCGGTAATCACGCTTGAAGCTGCAAAAAAAAAAAAAAACCCACACTGACTTCTAGGATAATATGACTTACAATCAATGCAGTCAGTGACAATAGCTATAGGGGCTGACCATCACACCCTCCACTTTTTGATAAAATGGGGTGATGTGTACATAACCATTAAAGAAAATTGTAAGAAAAAGAAGCAAGACAAAGAAGATAAGCCGACCGATGGGCAATCAGAGGAAAAAACCTGCATGGTCCGGGCCCCTTGACTCACTTCCAGCTAATTTATCCAAGAAATAGTTATCCTTAGTTTTCAGCCTCACAATTTCCATGGGTGGTGTCTCAAACTGTAGACAAGACCATACCAAAGCTCTCCTTGTTGCTGGGGTGATTATTAAAGAACTTTTGCTCTGTTGTCTTACATCCCTCTGTAGGGTTTTGTATGACTGCATGACTTTCAATGTTACAAGTTGACATAGAATTATTAGGCTTCCATTTGGCTTCCCAGTTGGTACCCTCCAGGACCTCCCTGAATTCAGCCTCCCATAGGTCTGTGTACTGTAGTTGCCCAGAGTCTGGAGTTTGAGCTTAGATGAAAATATTATAAGACCTATTTGATTCCCCAAAGTTATTGGCTTGCCATCCGCTTCTTTAATACTTGAGGATACCTAAAAGTCGATTTGAGTCAAGTCTGGATTCCTACATATTCAACCCCCCTAAACTTCTGTTCCCTCATACCTGGTAGGTAGGAAAGCTCTATTTCTTAACAGTGGTGTTAAAGAGGAAGGGGATAATGCTAGCGAGAAGTTGTCGTGTTAGTATCCCAATCAACACTTTTAAATGGCATTACAATTTAAATGTATACAGAGCATGTTCAGAATTAAACATTAACTTTACTGGTAAACTGATTTAATATAGCATGAGGCATATATAGAGGATATCCCACATATCTCCATAAAAAAGGGAGCTTTACCCAAATCTAGAATTCACAGTATCCAACATCATCAATGGCTGCCCTTTCTGAGTACACAACAGGCGGATGGTGAGAGGATGAGCTGATGCTCCAAGCCAATCAGTGGTGCCCAATGCTTACCTTCTCATCACAGAATGAGCAGAAGGGAAAAATTAATGTGGACAGTAAACCGGGGAGGATCTTCGCGGTTAAACTGTTACAAAATGTTTAGAGAACTGTAGAGCGTGCTTTTAACATCAGTGATTGGAAAAGTGTATGAATAGTTTTTAAGGGAAAATACTCATGAATTCATTGTGAATAACATTAGTAGGAATCAACATTAGTTTATGAAAGACAGTCCATGCCAAACCAACGTAATCGTATAGTGGATGTGTTCTATGTGAATATCGATGAAAGTGCGATAAAAATAGTAAATATAATTTAGCAATCAGTCCAGGCAAGAAAAAGGAGTCTTAGCAGAGACAAGATAGTTCTATACAAATACCTATAATGGGTCAGTACAAACCGTTCTCTGCTAACTTATTCATTGACAGGACATGTAATCTATTGAGACTTTGAAGGAGATTTTACCTATATGAAACAAAAAGATTCTTTACAGTAAGAATGATAAAGATGTGTTGTGTGATTCTGTAGAGAGATTTTAAAAAGTCTGGATAAAAAAATAAAATAAAAAAAAAAATAACGTGCATGTTCAAGTATATACTGTGCAGTAAAAAAACCTTTCTACACGATAAACGTTCGCCTGATTTCAGAATCAAGGTTTTATTTCCTGTAATGGAGGCCTCTGTTCCCCTGGTTTGTGAAAGGGCTTGGAGGCCAGCCTCCTCCCTACAGACCAAGGACTCTGCCAAAGAACATGCTAAAAAGTACCAGAGGGACTATTGTCACAGTTCCAGAGGTCTTCCTAGCCTTGCCCCCTCCACCTGCGAGTGGTGAGGACGTCAGTCACTCTGTAGCAGGAGGAGGAGGTGGAGGCACAGAAGACATCCGCATGGAACTATACATCGGATCAGTGGCCGGTCAAACATTAAACCGGGTGGAGATTGTACACTATATGGAATCAAGGCAGTCTGAGTCTTTGGACAGTGGGTAACAAATTGACAAACCAATTCCAAAAGGTGTAGTATAAACATACAGCACCCTTGTGTTAATACAAATGCATATATAGGTATAGAGGGATTTTGTAACCTCAAAAAGAAGAGAAAAGGACAAATAGTACAATATGTAACCATATATGCAGTGCTTTGTATAAAGTGGATATAGGACCAACTCACACTTTACTAAGCTACCAAGGGCTCTGCTGTAAATCGCCTGGATGGTAGAATCAAAGTAGGTAGTAGGTAGTATAAGTGGTATTCTACTTACAATTTTCAGAGCAATAACTTGTTCTGGTTTGGAGAGCATTGGTGGCATTATTCCTACCTGGGATATGCAGGATGAACCAGAGAATTATTGCTCTGGAAATTGTAAGTAGAATATCACTTATTTACTATCTACTTTGTGTATAAACATACTACACCATAAGCCTTTTTCTGCTTTATTTTCCCTACATATATTGGACAGCAACTACAACAAAGCTTCACTATCCTAAGACGGGGATTGTACCATCCAGGCGATTAACAGCAGAGCTCTTAGTAGCTCAGTAAAGTGTGAGTTGGTCCTCTATACACTATAGAAAGCACTGCATATATAGTTACATATTGCACTATTTGTTGTCCTTTTCTCTTTTTGAGGTTACAAAAATCGCTGTATATACCGACCTCAAAGAAGTATATGTAAATATATGCATTTATATTAACACAAGGGTGCTGTATGTTTATACTACACCTTTTGGGCGCAGTTCGTCACTTTGTAATAATTTGTATCGTCTGCGAGGTTTTGGGAATCCTCGCTGATTTACTGCTGCCCACGTTTGCATTATTGTAGTGAGTGCCTTTTTCTGTTTTTGGCAGTGGGTAGTTAAGGGGGTGACTGATTTGGGGAAGTACCCGTTACTGGGGTACTATCCTGAAAAGCATCAAAGTCCAGTTTCACCATCCTTGAAGTCTTACCAAATAGATGCAGCCTAACCAAGCACCCAGGATGCTGATTACAGTAGCACCAGGTAGAGACATGGATGAAGTAGCAGCCGTATGGAAGTATGCACCGGTTCAGAACTCAATGGTCAAACCTTTAACTGGGTGGTGATTGTGGAATCCGGGCACTCTGGACAGTGGATAACAGAGGGTAAGCTGTTTGGGGATGTCTTGGTTGCTGGAGTTTGTTGGGGAAGGGGGTTTGGAGCTATAATTTCCCTGATGCCCTGTCTGGAGAGAACTCAGCAGGTGATAGATCACACTTGCTTCAGGCTTGGCCACAAACTCCAGACCTGACAGTGGCAGGGAGGATTCATGCTTTATTACCCCTGCAGGCTAAAGAAGATACACTAGTCTGTATAATGTTAAATTTTGTGCAATAAAGTGTACTTGTTTCACCCATTATCAAGTCTCGACTGATGTTTAGTTGGGCAGCGATAAAGCGGCTATAAATGGAGTCTCTTAAGGTATGCTGTGGAAAAAATGCTGGCGATAAACTACTCAGGATGAGATCGAGTTCAGCTTCATTCCAACTTTGTGGAACCATTGGAAATGCTTAATTTGTGTGTTTTGTATCAACTGCAGAAACAGATGTGTGGAAAGTGGAGCTTTTTATACTAAAAAAAATTTTTTTTTTTAATTTTTTTTTTTTTTTAACTTGAGCAATATGTATTCAGGAGCCATCTGGGTTATTCTAGCCAATCCTCAGCCTCCAATACGCTTGCTTGGAGCAATTAGCAAGGCTATTTCCATATGACTTCAATGACTGAAAGTTCTTTCATTTCCAAGAAAGCCTTTGGAAAGAATATTACTGTGGCTTCTCTATGTGCTAGAATTAAAACCATGCCGTTTCATGGTTTTGTGAATACATGCTGGCCGCTTCCTCTCACTTTGGCATTGGTTCATTCATTGTTGAGGTAACTGAAAAGCCACATCAGTTCTAGCATTATAAAGCAGCCGTACTATAGAACTTTTTTGGTTTCTAGAAAATCTAAAACTGCTTGTAAGTTTTCTAGCTTGCTGCTGTTTTTCTGAAACCCCTCGACCCTCTTCCAAAAAAACCATAATGACAACTATTTTGTTTTATGTTGTCGGGATGACTCTTTCCAGTCACAGAAGAGCATTAAGAACAAAAGCGCATGTGGGGTCACGCTGCCCTCCTTCCATTAAATTGAGGATAGCAGCAAGAAGGAGATTGACTCCGTTCTCACAGTGAAAGTTCCTCTAATGGCTGTCTACCTGAACATGGAAGTTGAGTCGCTAGTTTATGGTACTCTGGGATAGTAAGAAGCATATTGTAAAGTACAAATGTCATATTATAAAGCCTTCAGTATGTTCTTACCTTTCCTTTACTCAGGGACTGAATTGCTCTCTTTTCCAAGCCAGTTGCTTGCTGTTCATCAGTGGGGAGAGCTGCAGAGCACAGAAAGTTATGTGATAATTCCATCCTGCAAATCATTAACATGTCAACAGGAAGACTTGAAATAACATCACGTGCCGTGGAAAATCTGAACAGATAAAGCATTATAGTGCAGGAATATATCATTCTAGCTTTGACAACCTAAAAGTTACATATTTAATACCAAGTAAAATGCAATAAATAAGAGAAGGCATATAATAAATTGTTGCAGAGCAGATTTTGTGCTCAGTGTTTATATTAATGTAAACCTGTATTCCCAACACTTAAGTATCCTTATCCAGGGACATATTTGCCACGAGGCACACAAAGCATTTGCCTTGGGCGGCACTTTCCAGAGGGTGGCAAAAAACGCTGCCCTGAAATGCCCAGGCAAATACCATATTAGCCTGGTGGAGGCTAACTAAAAATCCAAGCGGACGGGTGGCGCTGGCAAGGGAGCACCGATTTGCGAGCTGTCTCTGCTCAGCTCCCTCGCAACCCGCAGTAATGCCGGGAGCCGGAATATGAAGTCATATTCCGGCATTACTGCGGGTCGCGAGGGAGCTGAGCAGAGATAGCTCACAAATCGGTGCTCCCTCACCAGCGCTGCTCATCCACTTGGATTTTTAGATAGCTGCCCAAGTGCCTGCCTCTCTCCCTTCACGAAGACCCACTGGACCCCAGGTAAAAAAAATCCACCTAGCTCTTCCAAAGGTAGGGAGGCTGGGTGGATTTAAACTAAAATAGAAAAATAATTGGTTAATGTTTGGGGAGGGGGGGCTGTCAGTGTGTGTATGTCTGAGTGATTGTGTGTCTGGCTGTCAGTGTGTGTATGTCAGTGTGTGTTTCTGGCTGTCAGTGTGTATGTGAGTGATTGTGTGTATGTCTGTATCGGAGTGATTGTGTGTGACTGAGTGAGTGCGTGTGTGTGTGTCAGTGAATGTGTTTGTTTGAGTGATTGTGTCTGTAAGGGGGCGCCTGTGTGTCTGAGCGATTGTGTCTGTCCGTGTGTGTGTGTCTGAGTGATTGTGTATGCCTGTCAGTTAGTGTCTGTGTCATTGTGTATGTATGTTAGTGATTGATTGTGTCAAATCAGTATGTCAGTGTATCTGAGAGTGTGCATGTCAGTCGTTTAACAGGAAGAGGTGTGGCATTGACAGAAAGAGGTGGGGCAAACGCAAATTAGTGGGTGCCAGAGTTACATCATGCCTAGGGCAGCCCAGATACTAAATACATCCCTGTCCTTATCCCTAGTTATATACCCCAACCTTGTGCCGTAAAAAAATTAAAGTAAACATTTTTACTTCCTTTTTCCAGTGTCGATGGTTCCTTTGCACTACTCAACTCGCCTCCTTTCATGACATCATTGAGAAGTCATTGTCTCCTCCACATTGGTGCAATCCAATGATCCTTATAGAGGAGTATTTGGGACCGGATATGCATGCACTGAGAATAATGCATGCATCCAAGCTTCCCCATAGGAAGACATCAAATCAATCCTTTCCTGAATAGGGGCTTTCATGGCACATAAGAGTTTTACTCATAGGCGTGCACAGCCTATTGCATTAGGGTGTGCACCCTAAAGCACAAACACACACGCCACGTATATATGTGTGCTGTGTGGGTGTGTGAGGGTGCTGTTAGTGCGTGTGTGTGTGTCTGTGCTGCCATGCCCGATCCCTGGTGGTCCTAGTGAGTGAACTCTAGCCTGCAGGGCTAGAGTTCACTCTCACAAGATCTGAGCGTGGCCGTGGCAACGCTCCGACCTTGCGAGAGGAACCCAGTGGAACTGCGGGCTAGAGTTCCCCGGGTCCTCTCCTGCCTGTGGGCCGGTGAACAAGGCTGGACTGAGACAAAAAAGCCCAGGCAGAGAAGCCCACTAGGAAGGGTGGGCCAGAAATATGGCACGTTATATCGCCACCATTGACAAGCTCCCCCCGCCCTCCCAATTGTTATGTTAGTGTGATACCCCACCAGATACCCCACCATTCAGTGCTGTCTGATGGAGAAAAAGTCCTAGTGACTTGTTTCTGGTGTCCCCATTAGTGGAAAAGGATTGTTAACGTGTGTTTTGCACGTGTGGGAATGCTCCCTGCGGTGTTATATGTGTTTGGATGTTTTATGTGATTGCATATGTGTAGAGGAGACCGGTAGAGTGTAAAGGGGTCTGTGGTGTATAATATGTAGCTGGGGGCTGTATATTATATGTGTGTGTGTGTGTTTATAGGGTCTTTAGAGTGTGTGTGCCTAGTGGTGTGTTGTGTTTGCATGTAAGGACTGTATTTCGTGTATCTAGGAGTTGCAGGGGGTGGAATTGTGTGTATGCGTATAGGTGTTGTGCACATGTGTGTACTGGTGTGCTAATAGGGGTTGTAGTGTTTGTTTAGGGGAGTTGTGTGTGCATAGGGGTACAGTGGGTGCACAGGATGTGTATATTGGCATAGTATGAATGCAGTGGTGAGGTGTTTATAGGGGTATAGAGTGTGTAGTGCTTGTGTGTGTATGCAGTGTAATGTGTGTGTTTATAGGGAGTATAGCGTTTGTGTAGTGATTGAGTGCAGTGTATAGGGGGTATAGAGTGTGTGAGTGCAGAGGGTGTAGTGTGTATATAGGGGGTATAGTGTGTAGTGTATATAGTGTGTATGTGCAGGGGGTGTAGTGTTATGTATAGGGGGTATAGTGTGTAGGTGCAGGGGGTGTAGAATTATGTATAGGGGTATAGTGTGTAGGTGCAGGGGGTGTAGTGTTATGTATAGGGTATAGTGTGTAGGTGCAGGGGCGGTAGTGTTATGTATAGGGGTATAGTGTGTAGAATGTATACAGTGTGTGTAGTGTTATGTATAGTGGTATAGTGTGTAGGTGCAGGGGGTGTAGTGTTATGTATAGGGGTATAGTGTGTAGAGGGTGTATATAGTGTGTGTAGGTGCAGGGGGTGTAGTGTTATGTATAGGGAGTATAGTGTGTAGGTGCAGGGGCGGTAGTGTTATGTATAGGGGTATAGTGTGTAGAATGTATACAGTGTGTGTAGTGTTATGTATAGTGGTATAGTGTGTAGGTGCAGGGGGTGTAGTGTTATGTATAGGGGTATAGTGTGTAGAGGGTGTATATAGTGTGTGTAGGTGCAGGGGGTGTAGTGTTATGTATAGGGAGTATAGTGTGTAGGTGCAGGGGCGGTAGTGTTATGTATAGGGGTATAGTGTGTAGAATGTATACAGTGTGTGTAGTGTTATGTATAGGGGTATAGTGTGTAGGGCAGTGGCGGATCCAGAGCCTGATCTCGGGAGGGGCACTTGTAGATTATTTAAAGAAATAATCCAGACACAATAACTACTACAGCTCAGTGTTGTGGTTATGGTGTCAATAGTGCCGGGACCCCCTCCTAGAGTAAGTAGTCAAACCGTTTAAGAACAGTTTGACAACTTACCTGAGGTCTGCTGGGAAATGGGGCGGTAGTAGGGCATAGGAGCAGTGGTGTGTGTGAGTGGTGCAATGTGTAAGGGGTGCAGTGTGTGTGTGTGTGAGCAGTGTGTGTGAGTAGGGGGGGCAGTGTATGTCAGGGATGCAGTGTATGTGTGGGACAGTATGTGTGTGTAACAGTTGCAGTGTGTGTGTGAATGTGGGCAATGTGTGTGTATGGGGCGGCAGTGTGTGTGTATGGGGGCAGTATGTGTGTATGGGGGCAGTATGTGTGTATGGAGGGCAGTGTGTGTGTATGGGGGCAGTATGTGTGTATGGGGGTGGGGGCAGTATGTGCGTATAAAGGTATGCGTATGTAAAGGTATGTGCGTATGGAGGCAGCATGTGTGTATGGGGGGCAGTAAGTGTAAAAGAAAATGCGTGTGTATGGGGAGATGTATGGCAGCATGGGGGTATGTATGGGGTAGTATGTGTGTATGGGGGGGCAGCATGGGGGCTATGCGTGTGTGTGTGTGTGTGTGTGTGTGTGTGTGTGATCAGGGTAGGGTGGCTTTTTTTTTTTATAGTGTGTGTATGGGGGGTAGTATGTGTGTATGGGGGGGCAGCATGGGGGGCAGCATGGGGGGAGGCAGTATGGGGGCTATGTGTGTGTGTGATCAGGGTAGGGTGGCTTTTTTTTTTTTTATAGTATAATATTTTTTTATTTAATTAAAATAAATATTATCCTATGTCCCCCCTCCCTTCTTACCTTTACTGGGGAGGAGGGGGGACATATTTCGATCCCTGGTGGTCCCAGTGGGGATTCATTGGTGGTCAGGTGGTCAGAGTTAACTCTAGCCCGCGCTCCCGGGCTAGAGTTCACTCTCGCGAGATTTGGAGCGTTGCTGTGGTAACCGCGGCAACGCTTCAAATCTCACGAGAGGAGGACCCTGGAGGAGCTGCAGACTGAGCTCCGGGTCCTCTCTCTCCTCCCTCTCCCTCCCCTGCCGGCTGTCAGCACAGTGCCTGCGGACCGGGGAGGGAGATCTCTGATCTCCCCTCCGGTCCGCAGGCACATTGCAGGGCTAGCACCTGCATGTGCTGGCAGGGGAGGGAGACCGGCGGATTTCTCGGGGGGGGGCAATTGCCCCGTTGCCCCCCCCCTGGATCCGCCAGTGGTGTAGGGGGTGTACATAAGGTGTATTGTGTGTAGGTGCAGTGTGAATATAGGGTGTAGTGAGTAAGTGGTGGGGTATAGTTTATGTATATATTTTGATTGTTTCATTATTTAAATAAAATTTAAAAAAAACCTACAGCACATTTACTCCCCTTTCCCCTTGTTACCTTATTACTTTGCAGAGGGGGGAGAGGGAGCACGCTGCTGACCATCCCCGGTGATCCACTGGGCTAGTGATGTGGTCTGTACCTCCGCAGGGTACAGACCATGCCTTTCTCTCGCGAGAGCTAGAGTTACAGAGCGTTTCCACGGCAACGCTCTGAAAATATCAGATATCGCAAGAGGGCTGCTCTTCAGAGCCTCTCTCGGGGCCAATCTGTTGTGCTTGAGCCGGCAGGGGAGATATTTTGATCTTACCTGCCGGTCTCGATCCATGCACGGCGCACGGGGATTAGGGTGTGCCCAGGCACACCCGTCACACCCCGTGCGCACGCCAATGGTTTTACTTCAGTGTCACAGAAGTGTGTCTAGTGGCTGTTTATACTGAGGAGGACTTAACTCTAATGTAAACATTGCACTTTCTACAAAAGTTTTATATTGCAGGATTAAAACGGACAGGTCACTTTAGGGTGCAGTAATGAAGATTAGATGAAGGTGTCTAAAATACTTTAGTGGCCCTTTAAAGCGACACTGTCATGACCATGAAAAATGAGTATTTCATAAACATGGAATCTTTATTAAATACTCATTGTGTTTGTTGAAATTTTACCAAAATTCCATCCCAGTCAAGAGATATACAGAGGCAAAGTAGTGACTACTTTGAATTTCTCTTCCGCCTGACTTTTCTTGAATCAATGCAGCGCTACAGAGTAAACCCCTGAAGCGTCATTAGTGACAGCTGCTTGGAATTGGCTGTGTCCATGGAGGATCCTGCTGTCTCGCAAAATCTCATAAGACTTCGCGACAGATCAAGATGGCAGCACCTTTATCTGCCCCCCTCAGCCATCAGACCACCAGCAGAAATGTCCCTAAACAGCGACAATGACACTTGGTCTTATCACTGTCAAGCAATGCTTAGGATTACTTTTTATATTGTGGAAGATGGTATTTAGTATGTATAGCATTGTGTGTATTTCACAAAATATTTTATTACAAGTATCTTATAATGTTGATATTTGTTTTTTTTTTTTATCTAGTATTGGCAGCAGGGAGGAAACCAATATACCTACATACAGACACACACCCCTCCCCTATGTGTAAGGTAAAACGCATTTACGTTTTGGATTGACTGGCTAAAGGCCTTCAGCCATATTTGTAATTGGTTAACTCAAGACAAGGTGCTGCAGCAACTAAAGAAAGTTAATATAAACAAAGCTCCAGGGCCTGACGGTATCCATCCACGTGTACTTAAGGAACTAAGTGCAGAAATAAGTGAACCTCTGTTTTTAATCTTTCAAGATTCTTTTCTTTCAGGAAGTGTTCCGGAGGATTGGAGAAAGGCAGATGTGGTTCCTATATTCAAAAAGGGTTCGAAATCCTTGCCTGGAAATTATAGACCTGTGAGCTTAACTTCTGTGGCTGGTAAAATATTTGAAAGGTTATTAAGGGATAATATTCAAGAATTCCTTGAGAAGAACATGGTTATCAGAAAATCAGCATGGTTTTATGAAGCACAGGTCATGTCAAACTAACTTGATTGCGTTCTACGAAGAAGTAGGTAGAAGTATAGATCAGGGTGTTGCCGTGGATGTGATCTATTTGGATTTTGCCAAGGCATTTGATACAGTTCCACACAATAGATTAGTGTTCAAACTCAAGGAAATCGGTCTAGATGAAAATGTTTGTTCTTGGGTAGAACATTGGCTTAAAAACAGAGTACAAAGAGTTGTCATTAATGGTACATTTTCAAGCTGGACAAAGGTGGCAAGTGGTGTCCCTCAGGGGTCTGTTCTGGGACCCCTTCTATTTAACATGTTTATAAATGATCTTGAAGACAGCATTGAAAGTCATGTTTCAGTGTTTGCAGATGACACACAACTTTGTAAAATAATACAATGTGAACAAGATATTACTTTGCTGCAGAGGGATTTAGATAGACTGGGGGACTGGGCACTCAAATGGCAGATGAAATTTAATGTTGAAAAATGCAAAGTTATGCACTTCGGCGTAAAGAATACACAAGCAACGTATACCCCTAATGGAAGCAAATTAGGGATAACGACACACGAAAAGGACTTGGGAATTGTTATAGACAACAAACTATGCAACAATGTGCAATGTCAATCAGCAGTGGCCAAGGCCAGTAAGGTATTGTCATGCATGAAAAGGGCATTCATTCTCGGGACAAGAATATAATTTTGCCTCTTTATAAATCACTGGTAAGACCCCATATTGAATATGCTGTGCAATTTTGGGCACCTGTTCTAAAGAAGGATATTATGGCACTAGAAAAAGTGCAGAGGCTGGCTACAAAATTAATAAAAGGAATGGAACATATCAGCTATGAAGAAAGGTTAACAAATTTAAACCTATTTAGTTTAGAAAAACATTGCCTGAGAGGGGATATGATAACATTATACAAATATATTCGGGGCCAATACAATCCATTGTGTGGAAATCTAGTCACAAACCGGACTTCACAAGAAAGAAGATTTCATCCAAGGCAAAGGAAAGGTTTTTTTACTGTAAGAACAATCAGGATGTGGAATTCTCTGCCTGAAGTGGTTTTATCAGAGTCCATACAGATGTTCAAACAGCTACTAGATGCATACTTGCAAAAACAGAATATTCAAGGATATAATCTTTCAATGTAGGGTAATAACTGCTTGATCCAAGGATAAATCTGATTGCCATTCTGGGGTCAAGAAGGATTTTTTTCCTAGCTTGTTGCAAAATTGTGCTTCAAACTTTTTTTTTGCCTTCTTTTGGATTAACAATAAAAAACAAATGTGAGGAAGGCTGAACTTGATAGACGCAATTCTCTTTTCAGCTATGTAACTATATAACCACAGAGAAGGCCAAGTAGCCTTAAATATGACAAAAAAAATTACAAGTTTACATAAAAATCAGGAAAGCACTTCGTGCCACTGTATAAATGCTGAAACCAGGCATCCACTAAATAAAGGAGAGACTCCTCTATGAGCAAGTACCAAACTAGGTATGAAATGCATGAGGTAGCTCCTGTTTTTGTACATTTGGGCTTTCCTATTTTTTTGCCATGTATAGGTTTCTTTCCTTTTTATTGAACATTTTATTTTTAGCATTTGCTAACTTTTTTCATGTCTATGGAGATACATGTCTACGGAGTGATTATTTCCTTTGCAAGCCTCTTTTTGTTGAATGATAGACCACAGATAGAAGAGTTAGATAATCTACTAGTTGAGGAAATGGCTAAAATGACAATGAAGGGGGAAGTTATCATCATGGGTGACCTTAATCTTCCTGATATAAACTGGAAAATCAAAATAGCTGCTTGTGCCAGGAGCACACATTCTAAACTCCTTACTGGGATTGTCTCTAAAACAAGTCGTTGAGGAGCCAACACGTAAGGAGGCCATACTAGATTTAGTGTTAACAAATGGAGATTTGGTTTTAGATATTACTGTAGGTGAAGGTTTAGGATGCAGTGATCATCAGTCAGTGTGGTTTAATATAAGAACAGTGACTGAGTCACACCACAAAAACCAAAGTTTTAGACTTTAGAAAAACAAACTTTTCTAAAATTATAATATGTGCCTATAATTGCCTGGAAATTATAGACATGTGAGCTTAACTTCTGTGGCTGGTAAAATATTTGAAAGGTTATTAAGGGAGAATATTCAAGAATTCCTTGAGAAGAACATGGAGCAACTTAAATGGAGTCCAAGAGAAATGCGATTATTTAAAAGTTGCACAGAAAATTGCATTATGCTTGTCAGTAAAAGCAAAAAAAACACTGTGGTACTCCGCAGATGTGGCCAAAATAGTAAAAAACAAAAAGTTAGCATTTAGTAATTATAAAAAAAAAAAAAAGAAAAAAACAGTGAGGAAGACATGACCTATAAGATGAGGCAGAAAGAGGCTAAGCAAGTTATAAGAGCTTCCAAATCACACACAGAAGAATAAATAGCACAGTCAGTAAAGAAATGGGACAAAACATTTTTAGATACATAAATGAGAAAAGGAAAGTAAAACAAGGATTAGATTAAAAACAAAAGCAGCAAGATATGTAGACGAGGATAAAGGTCTAGTTTACTGCCTCAATTAATATTTTTGTTCAGTATTTACAGATGAAAATGAAGGAAAGGGGTCTCAGTTAAGAAAAAGGATAAATTAGTCATTTATTACACGTGAGTTGACAGAGGAAGAGGTTCTATTTCAATTGTCAAAAGGAAAGACAAATAAGTCAATGGGACCTGATGGAACAAACCCAAAGTTATTAAAAGAGCTTAGTGGTGTACTAGCAAATCCATTAAAAGATTTATTTAACCAATCATTGTTAACAGGAGTAGTACCAGAAGAGTGGAAGTTAGCGAATGTTGTGCCCATTCACAAAAAAGGTAGTAGGGAGGAGTCGTGCAACTATAGGCCAATCTGTCACATCATGCCTTGTTCTGCGGATCAGTCTGGTGATGGCTTCTGATATCCAGTACTCTCTTTACAATTTTGTTTAGTTTTTCTTGTTTTTTTGGTTTTCTATTCTATGTCTGGTTTTCTTTATGCTGGGTTTTTCTGGGTTAATTCCTGTAATCCGTCCCTGGAATTCCCAGTGCCCAGGTTTCATTTAAATGTTTGTTTTATGTTGCCACCAGTCATTCCTTTTGTTTCAGTGTCCTGCAGGCAGCTGCTCAAGCCTTCTGGCCTTTCTTGCAGGTAAGTGCTATATATGTGTTTCTTATGGTTCTTTTAGTAAACATTAGGCAGAGTAGGACCTGCCAGATATGGGGTACATTGGCGTTGTTGGCAGGCTTATGCAATGTATGATCATATAATGTGACTAAATCCCCATGATTTTCATATATAGTACTTAGTTATTTCTCCTCTTGTTTTGCCTATCATATCTTGTCTTGTTTTAGTTTGTATTCCCAGTCCATGTACAGTCCTGTCCTGCCCCTGTTTAGTTAATGTTCCCTTATGTATTGTGTACATGTTCTGGGTTTAGCTTCCTATCCTTCTCTGGTTCTGGGTTCTACTAGTTCTGTCTTGTTTTCATGTTTGGTGACTATCCTAGCCTTGCCTTGTTTCTGTACTGGATACATGTCTGCTGCAGAGCCCCCCTATCCAGTTCCTGGGAGGTCTGCATATCAAGCTCCTAGTTCCTGGGATCCACTGTAGCTGCATCAGAGTTCTGGTATGTGGCTGCGCGAACGCTGGTTCTCAACGCCAGAGGACGTGTGGTTACCCTGCACCAGGCCCTGGTGTCCATTACCACGCTGAAACTCCCAACTTCTCATCAGGCACTCAGGGGTCCCGGTTTCCATACCGCCACCCGTAACACAATCTAAGCCTTACTTCAGTAGTGGTGAAAGTAATGGAAACCATGTTAAAAGATAGGATTGTTGAACATTTAAAAACACATGGATTTCAAGATCAGAGACAACATGGGTTTACTTTGGGGAGATCATGCCAAACTAATCTTATTGAGTTTTTTGATTGGGTAACTAAAATAATAGATCAGGGTGGTGCAGTAGACATTGCTTACCTAGATTTCAGTAAGGCTTTTGATACTGTTGCACATAGAAGGCTTATCAATAAACTGCAATCTTTAAGTTTGGATTCCAGTATTGTTGAATGGGTAAGGGAGTGGCTGTGTGACGGGCAACAGAGGGTTGTAGTCAATGGAGTATATTCGAAGCATGGGCTTGTCACCAGTGGGGTACCTCAGGGATCTGTACTTGGACCCATTCTCTTTAATGTTTTTATTAGTGATATTGCAGAAGGTCTTGATGGTAAAGTATGTACTTTTGCTGATGATACTAATATATGTAACAGGGTTGATTTTCCAGGAGGGATAAGCCAAATGGCAAATGATTTAGGTAAACTAGAAAAATGGTCAGTTGTGGCAACTGATATTTAATGTGGATAAGTGCAAGATAATGCATCTTGGACATAAAAACCCAAGGGCAGCGTACATAATATTTGATAGAGTCCTAACCTCAACATCTGAGGAAAGGGATTTAGGGGTGATTTTTTCTGATGACTTAAAGGTAGGCAGACAATGTAATAGAATATGTACAAAGGATCAGTGCTAATATACTAAATCTTACAGAGATAAATGTAAGGCAGCACACCTGAAAATAGGGCTCCCTCACAGGCCCTATAGCGTAGACAAAACTAAAAAAGGTGAAAGGGGAGGCGGCGCCGCCCCCCCTTTCACCTTTTTTAGACAATGTAATAGAGCAGCAGGAAATGCTAGCAGAATGCCTGGTTGTATAGGGAGAGGTATTAGCAATAGAAAAAGGGAAGTGCTCATGCCATTGTACAGAACACTTGTGAGACCTCACTTGGAGTATTGTACGCATCTTCAGAAGGATATTGATACTTTAGAGAGAGTTCAGAGAAGGGCTACTAAACTGGTTCATGGATTGCAGGATAAAACTTACCAGGAAAGGTTAAAGGATCTTAACATGTATAGCTTGGAGGAAAGACGAGACGGGGGGTATATGATAAAAACATTTAAATACATAAAGGGAATCAACACAGTAAAGGAGGAGACCATATTTAAAAGAAGAAAAACTACCACAACAAGAGGACAGTCTTAAATTAGAGGGGCAAAGGTTTAAAAATAATATCCGGAAGTATTGCTTTACTGAGAGGGTAGTGGATGCATGGAATAGCCTTCCAGCTGAAGTGGTAGAGGCTATCCTAACTATAAGATAAGGCCAGGGACTAATGAAAGTATTTAGAAAATTGGGCAGACTAGATGGGCCGAATGGTTCTGATCTGCCGTCACATTCTATGTTTCTATATATCTTAATATAATCACAAATCAACATATTTTCATATTGTTCATATGACCATTATTGAATCTGTCACATTTTATGCCTACTACCACGTTTTCCTTTATAATTTTACATTTATTTTTTTATCTTGATTTACTACCATTTATATACCGACAAAAAGTGGACTCTGTATGAAGGCGCTGAATGTTCCACATAGTGATGCACTAGGTTAATGCATCTCTACAAGGAGATGCTAACAGCATTGCATGTACAGTAGGGTTTCTGACTATGGGGAAACATTGGATTGGCTGCGATTTTTTTGTAATGATAACCCCAATCAGGGAAGAAGTGACAGCCACAGCAAAGAAAGTGCGTCATTCTGGTTCATTGAGTAAATGGACTAGAATATTTTTTCTAACGTTGGAGTACTCATTTAAAAGAACACTTTAGGGTCAGGAACACAAACATGTAATCCTGACCCTATAGTGTAAAAAAAAAAAAAAAAAAACACAATCTAGTCTCCCTAGCCCACTCTTTCGTCCTAAATATAGTAAAATCTTACTTGTATTCAAGTCTGCAGCTGCTTGCTCTGCCCCTGATCTGCCTCTGGCTGACATCAGAAGTATTTATCAAAGCCAATCACAATGCTTTCCTGTTGGAAAGCATTGAATTGGCAGAGACCGTCAAGGAGGCAGTTCAGGGGCAGAAGTCAAAAACAGCCCTGGCCAATTAGCATCTCCTCAGAGATGCAGTGGAGACACTGAATGTCAGTGCTGGACACAGTGCAGCATTGCCCCAGGAGGCACCTCTAGCAGCCATCTGAGGAACGGCCAGTGGAGTTATCCCTAGGCTGTAATGTAAACACTGCATTTTCTCTAACAAGACAGTCTTTATTGCAAAAAGCCTGAAGGGAATGATTATACTCAACAGAAGAAATACAATAAGCTATAGTTCTGGTAACTATAGTGTCCCTTTAAGCTTTTCAACGCCAATATTTGTTTCTGAAATTTCCACATATAAAATCAGATATTTTTATGATCAGGACCAATACATCTATTTAGGTATTTTTCCTTTAGTTGCACTAGTTGTGTAGAAATTATCAAAACAAAACAGTTTGTTCGCCTCCCACCTCATTTTTAAATAGCTTATTTATAAATTGATTTATAAATATAAATAGGTTATCAAAAGAAATCCCCCTTGATGTCCCATGTCCCTTAACCCTACAGTGGTAATTATTGCAGTTTCTGTATTTCTTTATTATTGCTGTCTACCAGACAGCCACTAGAAGGACTTCCGGGTGCTCAGAAGACTTTTGGTCGCCTAAATGACGCAGATATCCTCATGCTGTGCATGAGGACTTCCAGCGTCACCGGAATCCACATAGGAAAGCATTAATTAATGCTAGAGGCACGTTGGCTTCCTAAAGTGCTTTATGTGTTTAGAGTGTCCCTTTTTTCCCATATTTTACAAAAAGTGGAGATTTCAAGAAATTGGCATCTCAGGTTTGGATATCTCAGTGGAGCTAAACTCAAGAGGCTGCAATTTCCCAGAGCACCTGCCTTGCAAAGACTTCTCATTGAGCTGCATTGGATAGTCTGGACAGCCACAAAGTCTGACCGGGATTAGAAGGGGAGGGTTAACAAAGGCTTCAAACAAGAGATCTACATGTTTTGCAATATACCATCAATTAAATATATGCATGTTTTCATCAGGTGTGTATCTACTAAAGTGATTTTTCTATTTTCTTCATATTTGGGCAGTGACCATCCCTTTAACCCCTTAAAGGACCACTATAGTGCCAGGAAAACACTCGCCCCCACCCTCAGGGTCCCCCTCCCGCCCGTCTCTGGAAGGGGGAAAGGGGGAAAAAACGTACCTTTTTCCAGCGCTGGGCGGAGAGCTCTCCTTCTCTCCTCCTCCGTTCCTCCTCCTGGGCTGAATGCGCACGCGCGGCAAGAGCTGCGCGCGCATTCAGCCCGTCGCATAGGAAAGCATTTACAATGCTTTCCTATGGACGCTTGCGTGCTCTCACTGTGAAAATCACAGTGAGAAGCACGCAAGCGCCTCTAGTGGCTGCCAATGAGACAGCCACTAGAGGATTAGGGGGAAGGCTTAACCCATTCATAAACATAGCAGTTTCTCTGAAACTGCTATGTTTATAAAAAAATGGGTTAACCCTAGAAGGACCTGGCACCCAGACCACTTCATTAAGCGGAAGTGGTCTGGGTGCCTAGAGTGGTCCTTTAAGGACCAAACTTCTGGAATAAAAGGGAATTATGACATGTCACATGTCATGTGTCCTTAAGGGGTTAAGGAGATCCAACTTCACCTCCTGAACCAGTTAACGACAGCCCTAGAACATAGTACAATATGCAGACCAGTCTTTTAAGGGTTCCAGTTGACAAAAATAAAATCTTGTTACAAGACTAAGCATAAGGACATTCTTGAGTACTAGAGAAATCGCAATGTATCCTTCCTAGCAAAATATTTCATAAAAATAAATGTCTGAAGGTTCTACATCCACAAAAAAATCCATTATATTTCAGAATAACGTCACAAAATCGTGACATGATCAGATGCTGAGCCTCTCAGCAGCATATCCAGTCATCAATAAGGCTGAGGGGGGAAGAAATTGCACAACTAATGGCAGACAATTTTCTATGCTACTTTTTTATTATTGAAAAAAGAAAAAAAAACAGCAACAAAAACGAAATAAAAGTACACAAATATAATGCAGGCATATTGTACATATCATCACTCTTTTCAACACTTGTTTGTGCATTATGAAAACTTTAATGATATGCTGGCCAGTGGCCACTGACTCGTGACTAACCAACTTCAGATTAGGAGAAACAAAAAATAGTTAGAAGTATGGGCCCAAAGGCAAAATCAACGAAAACAAGCAACAGATTTTATATTTAATCTATTTTGGCACAGATCACTTTATTCACTGCAGATTGTGAAACCACACTGAACACACAAACACACAGCTCTGAGCTGGAGGCCAAGGTCATAATAAAGCCTGTAAGTGACATATAAGGAATGGGTGTCTCCCTAGCACTCTGCCTATTGGAGTAAGAGTACGTGCAGAGTACTCAGTCTGTGCATGAAGTATTATAAGTAGACAAGTGCACTGACCTCAGCTCTGCCCTTCACTGGGATACATAGTGGCACACACTGCATTGCAGCACAGGGGGGATACAGTGTGTATACAGTGCAGGACAAGCTGTGTACCATATGAACTTAGTGTGATTTTAAAGCTTACACGTTAACCCTTTAACCCCAGAATAAAAAGTAGCAAGAAGCAAGGCAGCACACATAGGCAGAGATACCCACCCCCAACACTCATTGCTCTCAGGCATGGTCTGCTCAGGTACAGTGTCCTGCGAGCAGCAGCAGCCCTGCTGAAAAACTGGCAGAGTCTCCAAGAAGAAGCCATGTCTTCTGTCAGGTCACACAGAGCAGATAGCTGGAGCTAAACTTCGCAGGGGGCTGAGTAGCAGCTGCACTGACTGGTATTTATAACTGCCGGACCAAACCAACTGCCTCTAACTATAGGGAGGGGGGGAGGAATGGACTGTTTGGAAAAGAGCATGCAGAGATGGATTAGCTGCAGAAAAAATCGTTTCACTGCATTCAGACAGAATGGATTTATAGGATGTGGCATTTACTAAGTTCATTTCTCGAACTATGTATGTGCTTTGTTATTGTATTGATTTGATGGTGGGAAGGAAACCCCTGAGGTTTGGGTGAGTCCTAGAACGCTTGAGGAACGAGTTCTGTAATGTTGCAGTTTGTATCACTTGCGTTCTACTACCTGTTACTTAGCGATCAGTTTTGGTTTTAAATGTGTATTTCTTTTAGACCTACCAATCCTCGGGATGGAGATGGCAATCCAGTTTTAAAGGGACACTATAGTCATCAAAACAACTTTAGTTTAATGAAGTAGCTTTGGTGTATAACTTATGCCTCTTAAGTCTCACTTCTCAATTCACTGCCATTTAGTTAAATAACTTTTTTTTCTTCTGTTTTTGCAGCCCTAGCCACATCTTTCCACAGCCTGCATGCAGAGGCGTACCTAGGGTCTCTAGCGCCCTTGGCGAGGAACTGTATCCGCGCCTCCCCCCCCCCCAATCATGAAAAAACAAAAATGTTATTTTTTTTAGATCCAAGTTTTCCACCATGTAAAGGGAAGCTAAAGAAATAGATCTAGCATTATATTTTGTTTCCTCATCCTCCATGTCCCATAAAAAAGTGAATAAAGAGGAATTGAAAGTTCCTGAGGTTTCTTAGGAACAGAGTCCTGCCAGTCACCCAAAGCCCCTTCTCTCTATATGAAACCACTACGAGGAGAACTCCATCAGCTAGTGCACATGAAATCTCAAATCTTCTTATACCATGCTTTCCCAATAATGCCAATGATAGGGTTTGCTCTAATGAATCTGTTATCCGCCTAAAATCATAAATATATATTTACACTTGTGTGATGATGGTGATGTGCCAGTGGAATGCTTGTCACAATATTGCAAGCCTAACACAGGCACATTACACCTTATGACAAGCATAACACAGGCCATTACACCTTATTGCAAGTACAACATAGGTAAATCACACTTTTTTACAAGCATAACACAGGGACATCACACCATATCAGTGCCGGACTGGGGATAAACACCAGCCCTGGAAAGAAACACAAGCCTACAGCATTTTGTCATTATACCAACCCAGGTCCGTCTTTCCGCATGGGCACGCTGGGCACTTTCCTGGTGGCCCCACAGGTATAGGGACCCCACAACATTGCCCATGTGCCGAGGCTGACAGGGGAGATCCTTTGATCTCCCCTGCCAGATCATGGAGAGCCGGCCCTGCTCAGTTGCTTTGGGCCCTCTAGGGCCAGTTAGGAGATCAAGGATCTCCCTCACCGGCTTGAGAGGCCCTTCATTCGTGACAGAAAGGGAGGAGGGAGCTGGAATGAAGTTCCTCCCCCGAGAATGCTGATTGGAGCATTGCCGCGCGTTGCCATGGCAACGCTCCAACACAGCACTCACCTCGTGGGAAAAGTACAGGTAGCATGCAGCCAGAAGAGCTGCAGGCTAAAGAGCACTAATCAACACTGGACCAACAGGACTGGCAGTGTGTCCCCCTCCCTGGATAAAGGAAAGAAGGGGTGGAATACAAAGCTTTTACTATTTTTTAATTATTTATTTTTTTATATATTTATTTTATTTATTGATAGGGTATAACAATTCACAAGAATTATTGACAAACCTGATTTGTACAAAAAAATAGGTTGACAGCGTATTGCATAATATTATATCAAGGGATTTCCATACTAAGAATATCGAAAATTATAAACAGCCATTTATACATAGAATCTCTAAACATAGTCACAATAGTGTCACCCCACTAACCCTACTTTAGGCTCAATTTAATCTCTAAGTTTTGTCTAGAAATTTTATTTATTTGAATAATATAACTACTTACACATAGAAAGAAAAAAAAAACAAAGAAAAAAAGAACCGAGACTCGACAAGGGGCTATAGGGTTCAATAGGCTTGTTCGCTTGTAGGATAATTATTTGTGCAGGATAGCCATAATTTGGCCAAGTTCTTCCTAGTACTAGTATTAAAAATGGAGTTCTATTCCATCTTTTGCTGGTATTCTATTTGTTCTATGATCTATGAGGAAAGCCAATATTAAAAAGACACAGTTGGGGACTAATGTCTTTTATTTCCTCAAAGAGGGAGTTTCACAAGTCTAGACATTTGGGTTATAACACTGTTTAGCCCCTGACATTCCCACCAAATATGATAAATAGTACCCGCCTCAATCTTACATCTCAAACACTCCCCGGTGTAGGCAGGTGATATTTTGTGGAGTCTTGCTGGGACCATAAACCACCTATATATTATCTTTAGGTGTGTTTCGTAAAGAGAGACCCTATGTATGGACTAAAGAGTGTGGCTTTAGTCCATTCCAGAAGGGAAAAAGATCCCCCAATTAGTGATGTTGCAAACATAACATTTTCGGTTCGCGAATGGCGAACGCGAACTTCCGCAAATGTTCGCGAACAGGCGAACCGGGCGAATCGCCATAGACTTCAATAGGCAGGCGGATTTTAAAACCCACAGGGACTCTTTCTGGCCACAATAGTGATGGAAAAGTTGTTTCAAGGGGACTAACACCTGGACTGTGGCATGCTGGAGGGGGATCTATGGCAAAACTCCCATGGAAAATTACATAGTTGATGCATAATAAAGGGCATAAATCACCTAACATTCCTAAATTGTTTGGAATAACGTGCTTTAAAACATCAGGTATGATGTTGTATCGATCAGGTAGTGTAAGGGTAACGCCCGCTTCACAGTGACAGACCAAACTCCCCATTTAACGCACCACAAACAACCGCAAACAGTCCATTTGCACAACCACAAACTCCCTATTTGCACAAGGTTGGATACCAAGCTAGCCATGTCTTGTTCCTTGTCCTCACTGATGTCATTGAAGGTCTCTTCCTCCACCCAGCCACGTACAACACCAAGGGTCCCCAAAAGGTGACAATAAGCCCCCTGGGACACCTGCTGTGTTTGGTCTTCCACCTCCTCAAAGCCACCTTCCTCCTCTGACTCCTCTTCTTCAGACTCCTCTCTCTGCGTTGCCTCTCTCTGCGTTGTAGTAGTTGTAGTTAAGTAGTACTATTCCTATCAGTTTAATCCCTGTTACGTCCCCTATCAGGGGACGTGTATATGGCATCGATTTTAGGAACCGGGAGATGGAAAAAGATGCTTGGTCGGTCCTCCTACTTCAAATTTGGGGCACTGCGCGTGCAATCTAATGTGCCACCAGATAGGAGTGGTGTGTTAAGTAGTACTATTCTTATCAGTTTAATCCCTGTTACGTCCCCTATCAGGGGACGTGTATATGGCATCGATTTTAGGAACCGGGAGATGGAAAAAGATGCTTGGTCGGTCTTCCTTCTTCAAATTTGGGGCACTGCACGTGCAATCTAATGTGCCACCAGATAGGAATGGTGTGTTAAGTAGTACTATTCTTATCAGTTTAATCCCTGTTACGTCCCCTATCAGGGGACATGTATATGGCATCGATTTTAGGAACCGGGAGATGGAAAAAGATGCTTGGTTGGTCCTCCTTCTTCAAATTTGGGGCACTGCGCGTGCAATCTAATGTGCCACCAGATAGGAGTGGTGTGTTAAGTAGTACTATTCTTATCAGTTTAATCCCAATGTCACGACTACTAGTGTGGTCCAGCACGCAGAAACTATGTAAACATATACATAGGCAAGAAAAGGAAAATAAAAGGACAGAGCGTAAACCGGACCTTAGGATGGCCGGACTAATATGCAAGAGACAGAGAATGGTCAAAGGGAAAGCCGAGGTCAAGGAAGCCAGAAAATACACAATACCGTTTACACAAGCCAAGTCAGGGAAACCAGAATTCAGAATAACCAGGGAAAAGCCAAGGTGCGTCAAGGTTCCGAGCGGAAGCTGTAGAAGATTGGGTGTCCTTTGTTAGCCAGTCAACTATGTCCTAAGAACTTTTCGAGTTCAGGGTACGTGGCCTCTGAACACTGGGCATCATTCTAGGGCCAAAGGGAATCACAGCACCACGACCACGACCCCTGCGGGGTGGCCTGCCTCTGCCTGTCATTTTTTTTCCGATTAGTGGTACTATGCGTGCAAGCTACTGTGACAACAGATATGAGTGGCACTGTGCAGTGGCAGAAGTTGGCAGAGTAGACGCTGTAGGCCTGACACACACGCTTGCAGACAACTAACTGCTATTCAATCTATTACAGTCAAAATTTATTTTTTTTTAAAAATGTACACTACTGTTACACCAGATATGAGTTGCACTGGTGTGACACTGTGCCCTGGCAGGCCCTGAAACGCACACGTAGGAAGGAAACTGACTGCTATTATATTACATTCCAAAAAGTTTTTGTTTTTTTAATGCAAGCTATTGGGACACCAGTGAGTGAGTGGTGGCACTGGGCAGGCCCTGAAACACACACTCGTGAAGGAAACTGACTGCTATTATATTACAGTCAAAAAAGTTTTGTTTTTTTTAAATGCAAGCTATTGTGACACCCAGAGGCGGCTCTAGACTTTATGAGGCCTTAGGCGAAACTCAAACATGAGGCCCCACTAACAAAAAAGTGTCACATATACACATTGATGCACAGTTTACCTGTGTATGTGCCTGAGAGTGTGTCTGACAGAGAGTATCCTTGTGTGTGAATGTATGTCTCTGTGAGCATGTTTGCGTTTTTGTCTGAGATCCTATGTGTATGGGGTAGCTGCTTGAAGTGTGTTGTGTGTATGGGGGGTGATGGTGAGAAGGAGAGGCGGGTGATGGTGACAGGCAGGTGATGGTGTGGGGGTGATGGTAATGTGAGAGTGAGGGGGGTAACGTGAGAAGGAGGAGGGGGTAATGTGAGAAGAAGGAGGGTAATGTGAGGAAGGAGGAATGGGTAATGTGAGGAAAGAGGGAGGGAGGGTAATGTGAGGAG